AGTGCTGTAGTTGCATATGCTGGATGATGGCTCAAACCATTTGAATGTGAATGTGCAGTTTGTGTAAATTCGTTGGAATAGTACTGAGGCGACATCGCTGCTACAGGAGTTATATGGTGACCATGTGGAAGAATTGCTGTTACAGATTCCTGATGCGAATAACCAACACGTTGTTGTTCATCATAATCATTAATATATTGTGCTGAGGAAGGATGTAACGGACTACTAAAATTAAAGAAAAAAATTCAAAATTAAAGTAAAACAATGTCATACAAACAAATTAATGTTTCACACATGTTCGCACAGAGGGCTAAATGTAGCCGCTAGGCACACACCAAGTACTGCAGTTCCTGAACATAGGCAGGGTGTCTTTGCTATATATGTATACACTTTTAATATCTTGCAAAAATTTCAAATAAATTCTAATTATAAGTTTAGGCTCTTGTGGTGACATCATTTCATGCCTCATCAGAGTTAACAACACTAAGCATGCCGCAGTGACTAAACCCATACTTCCATGATTATAGTGTGTAAGGCACATGTGCTAACCAGGCAAATTTTAAGTTGCAACTCTACGATTTTGCCTGACCATCCACAAAACTGGCATAAAAAAGAATTCATATTGCAGCCATCACAGCCTCTGCTAGGACGAAGGCGCCCAACACGGCTTCCTTTTGCTCATATCCGTTTTGAAATAATTTTTCTTATTAATGCACTATGGTGATTTGACAGAATTTTAAAAGAAAATAAAAACTGAAAAAATATCCTTTCAGGGATGCAATTCATCTTGCAAGCATACCATATATTCAAATTGTATGTTTGCATAGGATATTATTATAGGATATTCTTATGCCTTAAATTATTTCTTTTCCATTGAACAAAGGTTATAATAACGTTTATTTTCTACAGAACAATATTTCTTCCGTGAGTTAGTTTGATTAAAAATAAATAAAATAACAAGATTAGGTAAACCTTAATATTCAATAATGAGAATTAAAAAACGTATTGAACCCTACGAAGGGAAGATAACAGGTTGATTAGTTTCCCATCATGTGAAATTATTCAATCTTCATTTATTATGAAGAAGAAATATAAGATTATTTTGGAAATTTTTTTAACTATTAAAAGTCAATATTAATTAAAAGAAACAAAAATAAACTTAAATATGTTTATATTATAACTCTTGCTTATATGATCACTAGTAGATTATTAATATTATTATTATTAATATTATTTTTATTACGAAAAACTCAATTAAAGGAACTTCTAAAATAGTCTTTTGAAGATCAAATAAGCCTCAGCTTATAGCATTTTGGTAAATCACTTACTATAACTCTCAATGTTCATATCCCTGATACTATGCTCATATTAGTATGTTGAAGACCAAAAGCATGAAAAATATTGGAGCATTTAAAGCCCATTAATTTCTCTTTCAAAATATACATAAAACATTGAAATTCTTCATAAAACTAGATTAGCCATCCTATTATAAAACTAAAACAACATAAATAGCGACCAAACTATATAGCTCCAAATAGGTATACAGCACTACTTACTAATTATCAAAGTCACTTCACACTCCCTATGAAACGCTAGCGGGTCCAAAAAAAACATGTGACTCTTCACAAAAGTCAAATGAGTAGAGTTAGTTGTATAATATATATATTTAATATCTTACAAGTATTTTGACTAAACTGTACTTTACTTCTCATAACTATATCATTTCTTAGTAATAATTATATCTTTCCTGAGTAATATTTATTTCTTCATACACAAAATAATACAATAATAAGAGTTCGGTCTAAATTCTTCTTATTATTCTTCTACTTCTTCTATGGTATATGGTAGTTAAATAATATTCTATACGAATATTCTGCTAAATCACATATATAATATATACATATATATAAATTATAATAGAATACACCCCATACTTTTTTATACGTTGTGGTCGTTTTTTTCTAGTTCTTAAGTAAATAAATAAATATTCTACTCCAAAATATTTTACGGTACAAAAATATAATACAAAGTCATTATCGAATACGCCTTCGCTAAATGTCTGGCAGAGACAAAGATACTGATATGTGCTTTAAGATAAAATTGAATACCTTCATTCAACCTTATTTTAAAAAATTCTCCAGACAATATACAGCTTAGATATATCCCTAACATGGGATGGGATATGAATTAAAAACAAATCAGAAAAGTTAATAGTATACCACGTACAATTAATTTTTATTAATTAAATAACCAATATAAACATTTTTTAAGTTCCAAAACTCATTATGAGGTGCAGTATTTATTGAGTGTAGTACCCAGGACTCAAATTCACTACACAACACGATGATTAAATTGTGAAGACATAAAATATAGATCGCATAGCATAAACGATTGGAATATATTTAGGCAGTGACGGACTAAAGGTAAAAGATGCAAAAAGATGAAATATGTATAAATATGTCTAAATATGTATAAATATGTAATATTTATTATATATTCCACTAATTTTATAAAACAATATACTGCTGCTCGTTAGAATTTTTCAATATGGACAAATTTAGAGAAGTTTTTTAAGAATTCAGGTGTAACCTATAATGCACGTAACCTATAATATTGACAAAACTCCTCTTCAATGCGACAACAAACCCTTTTATTGGATATATGAAAGGTCACAACGAACTGCACTAAACAATCATTCTGAAAAAATATAAAGAAGAGCTGAGTATTTATGAAGTCATGAAGTCATGATAGATAACAAAATAAGTCATCTATTTATTTAAAGATTTAAAAGTAATTCATTGAGCATTATTGCTCATTCAAAGCCTTCCGCCAAAAGATCTCAAACTTATAGAAAATTATAGACACTTATAAAAATAAGTATCAAGTTTTCTCACTGTAATCTTAAATATTTATTACTATATTACTGATATTCTTAAACAAGTAATAAACCAATTAAATTCGATAACTCTAATAGGAAAAATGTGCTGTATATTAAAGATCCGATCAGTTTGGAAGAACTAAACCATATATTATATATATTTTCTTAAAATAAAAGTAAGTGAAATCATATCAACTCTAATTAATCAATTCTTCGTATAAAGCACATTGGTATCTAAAATATATATAATATATATATAATAATTGTTAGTAATAATTTCACAATCTTCAATTGGTCAATTTAAAATTAATTCAAAATTTCTCTCAAAAACTCTTACTGTAAAATAAGAATTGATTAACTAATGCGACGGCTAATTGGATGTGTTTCAAAATATTAAATCCCGAATGTATTATATGGTAATTATTTTTAATTTTTTTTTAAATAATTTTTAATGTTACTTTAATTTCAACTACCTTTCTAACTGACCATAACTGTCATAGTTGTCATTTTGATTAACCAAATTTAAAATATCCTTAACGGAGAATGGTGTTGTATTAAGTGAGTCCGAATTAGTAATATTTCCAGGGCTAGATTGGTTGTAATCATAATATCCTTGCGACACTTGAGATTGTTGCTGATGTTGCAGCATTTTAAACAAATTTTTTTTTTGTGTTGAGTTTTCACGATTTTTTGTAAACACTTCTTGAAATTAAGCTTTAACAATAACAAAAGTATCTAATTAGCGAAATTTTTAATTACACTGCCAGGCACCGCTGCCTTCAGAAATCGCACTATTGATTTTGATTCTTTCCGTAAACGTGCGTGTCTATAATTTGTCAGTACGTTTGTGAAACTAAAAGCATCCATTTGTCGTAAACAATGCTGTCGTACGCTCTGCTTAAGCGTATGAGTTTCTTAAGTTTCCTGCTGTTCTTCTTGCAACCACCAACAACGTTTAGAAAATGGCTACTTTTCAGCCAATAGGAGAAGGCGCACTTGTTTCATTTTACATCGTTCCTTTGTTTTTTTTCCTTTAGTGTTTTGTTTTTATTGTTATTTGTTTTGTGTCAAAATTATTGTACTTAATAAGTTGAAAGCAAATAATTTGCCGTAATCCAACATTTTATTATTTTTAATACTTTAATTTTAAACACTTCAATTGCTTCTTAAGAGTAAAGATTTCTGTTATTAACACTTTTAACTCAATACAAGTTGTTTGTGATGTGATAAGTAATTTTATAATGTAATTGTTTTTGTTATATTACTGATTATAGTTTTTAATGCTTACACGGTCGAAAATTTTCGTTTAAATTTAAAACTCAGAGGGTTTTTATATTTATCCAAACTTAAATGAGTTTATAACAGTTTAATAGAATCTTAATGGTTTTAAAATAAAACTTGTGGGTTATGTTATCAACTCACGCAATTTATTTTTTGCGATTTAAACTTTAAAGTTGAAGCATTTAACTTCTAGGGTTTATTTTCTTTTATATTACCAATTATAAACTTCAGTAGGTTTCAAAAGTCAACCTCAGAGCTTGAAAATAGTGATGTAAACCCTAAAAAAGTTTACAGGGTTGAGACTTTAAACTAAAATTTTCGACCGTGTAGTTTCATAGTCTTGTTAGCTCACTACCAAAGCAACCTTACTACAAATATGTAGTACATAATTTAAAAATATTACATATAAACGGACTAATAATATTTAGTAATATTGTTTTTATTATTTTGACTTTTCTTAACAATTGTCATGGTTTTTTATCCACCTCTTTGCTATAATAAACTAACGGAGAAGCTGTAGAACTCATAAATAGAAGTAGCTTTTATTCTTCAAATAGAAGAAATAGCTCTAAAAAATAATATATATAGAAATAATATAAAAGTATTATATATATATATACAAATAGCTAATCTATAAGAAATTATTTGCGATACACCTGTTATCCAGGTGTATAGTTGTGTTTGTTTTTCAAGAATTCCTGATAGATATATAAAAATCGGATGATAAAATAATTTATGAATGGAAAGTAAATTATAATACATTTATTATCCAACTTATTATCTTGTGTTACTCCGTGTGCGAGTTCGAGTAAATTGAGGTAAAGTAATTTGAAATTTCCTAGGGACTGCAGTTATATAAATATTTATTTATTTATTTATTAAAATTATTTATTATTTTTGATTAAAAGTTTTCAAATTTATTTATTTTTTTATTAAACATCTTATAAAATTTTTACAATGGTAACACCTAATTTACCTAATTTTCATCTAATTCACCCTACTCGAAATTCTGGTAAATATCAACATTCACTGCCCTAACGACATAATTTACTATTTCCCTCAATTTACTGTCAATTTACTCGAACTTGTTATGAAATTAAATTCTTTTGTAAATAATTTATTAGAAAAATATTAATAGTCAAAATTTTATAAATGCAAATACATTACCATTAACGATTAAAATATACTTCATTTCTCGGATTTTGGTATACCCCTTGCAACGGCTAAGCTGGATATTAAAAATAAACATCTGAGTATGGATAAAAAAATTGAGCAGATGAAAATTTCTGTCAGATCTCTCGATCGACCTAAGACAAACTGGACAACAAACGAACCAGTCAGTGGCTTCAACTAAAATGTAACCTGCTCAGCCGTATGGTATCGGCGCTGACAGTCACTCCCTACTGGGAAGAAATGCCATGAGACTGGTTCTACACTATAATAATTTTAGTCATGGATACGGTTATACAGAAGAGGATGAATCCGTATTTCACCTTCTTTGTCAATGCTCATCTTTGACCAATAGAAAATCTTTTGAGCAGTTTTTTTCTTACCAACCTAACAGAGCTGTTATCCTGCATAATTAGGGACTTAACTAAGTATATAGATTTGTTGGGTCATTTTCAGACGAACAAGTGAGTTGTGCCTTTCAGCATTATCTTTTAAGGGGTTCGTTTGATTTCTGTATGAACAATGTTAATCCACAGATTATATTCTATAACATGTTGTTGTTGTGTTAATATAAATATCATCACTTTATTTGAAAGTGTTAATATAGTATAAGTATCTTATCTCCATGAACCGAATTTTTTTCGATCCTTAAATATATTACTTTCAAATTGATGACAACTATAATAGCATCAGCGATACGCTTCGGTTAGAAATCAGAATTAACATGAATGCCAAACGCCTTTATTGTAAAATCATTTTTCTACCGAAGATCATTTCCAATTTAATATTCATTCAGAATTGAAAATATTCATACGTAATAAAATATCTTCTTTAAAATAATAGATCAGTATTACAATGTCTTCAGACTAAACGCTAATACACTTGTGTTAAGTAGTTTTTGTTGCTATCAAGTAATTAATATATTATAATTATTATTTTTATACAAAATTGAAAATGTAGACTGACTTCTTGGAATCAAGTTAGTCCTATTTGGTGATAAATTTGCTCCCAACACCTTCGCTTCATGACATTTCGAAAATGAGTAACCTTCAACCAAATATGAACTAATCAATTGAACTACTTGCAGACCGTAGAAAAGTAAAATTTAATCATATTCTTATATATCTTATTAATAGCTGATTTATTGAAAAAGACAGAAACGTAGAAATGCATTTGGATTGAAACATGTTCAGTGGAAAATCACATTATTAATAAATGTACGTTAATAATAATCTCTAATATTTTGAACCCATTAGAAGAATAATGCGACTTTTCACCTAAGGTGCTTCAGTTTTTTCTCCATCTTAGAAACCATTTATACATAGATCAATATTTAAGAACAACTCCAACGACGGCACTAAATACTTTATAAGGTATAATATTGCTAATTCTTAAAGTGCAGACGGTTATATCCATTACTATATTTAAACTTTTTCACAGTGGTCTCTGGACAAAACACCACAACAATGAACACCACGGATAAATATTGGCTAAATTAAAATAATCTGCATACTCAAATGCCTTTAAGGCATATGATTTCAAAACACATAACCAACAGGAAACACGCTACCACTATACTAAACAGAGCTAGGTGGAAAGATAACAACATAAATCCTATTCCTGGACTACTCAGAAAAGGAGAGCAAATACCTCCTAAATCTTAATAACATAGATCTGATTTAAAAACAATGATTGATACAATAACTGGTTTCTTAATAAAGTGCGGTTTAGAATTTTAACAACCAACGAATGCAGATTGTGCATTAAAGACAGAGGAATACCTGCTCTTATACAATATAGGAGAAGAATTTCTTACAAAGAATTAATCCCCAAATCAGGCATAGATCGGGAAAAGATTAAGACTTATCTAGATAACGTGGAAATAAAAGAAATTCTTTACTAAATATGGATAGGCCAAAATATTATAGCCTATCAATGGACGCAAAGTCACGAATAGCTAATGTTTGAGCCTATCACAAACTATTTCTAATACTACGTTTAAATTGCGAGATTAAGAGAACGAGAATAAGTTAATCTACATTTTTATTCTACACCGTTTACATTATTCATTGGAGATTAATTTTGACGTTTCTCTTTTTATGTTGTGTTTCGTGTGTTTGATATATATCTGTTAATAAAGCATTTAATTACAAGTTTGTACAAAACAACTATAATATAAATTTAATAAATAGTTTTATAAAAAAATTAAACAAATTTTAGTTTTAATTATGTTTAAAACTGTTATTCTTCTTCTTCTAGGTGCCTTGTCCGCTTTCGAACGTTGGCTCTCGAAAAAGTGATCTTGTACTTTTATTGGACCATTTACGTAAATACTTTAGCCAATAAAACTATTATTAAACAAATTTAATAATAATTTCACTCACTTCGGTATTTTCAAATTTTCAATGTTTGTTTTAAATAGATTTTGACAGTTTTTTTCGAATTCTTTTTAGATCGTAAAAAAATCTACGATATTAAGTCATTTGCAGGGTTGCACAGAAAAATAATTATCATTTCTAAGGAGATTTAAAATTAATTTCGACCAAAACAAGATTAACTTTTGTATGTAAACGCAGTATTATAATTAAAACCCAAATGCATTAAACCTTTATTAGCAATTTTATCACGCATTAGTGTACCACTAAATTTCGCTTTCTGACGATTGTTGAAATATTAACGATTAAATAATGCTATCGAAATAGTCTTTAAATACAATAATTATAAAAAAAAGTGTGATTATGAATTTATACTTAAATCCTTTTTTTGACATTAATATTCACGAAATTATTTACTCATTAAAATCACAATAATATTAAAAAATTTTGTAGCTCAATAACTATTTTAAGACCTCCTGTACACAACTTTTATCAATCCACCTAATTTTTGCTCAACATTCTTATGTGGATATGAACAAACGGTTTAATATTTGGTATCAAAATTTTTAGTAAATTGATGTTATGATAAAAACTAATTAATATGTTTTAATGGCTATTATATCATATTATATATATCATTTATTTTATAGCACAACATTAAGTCGCAAATTCAAGTAAAATTTCAAACTACTTCAGGTCAGGAAAAGGCAGGTTTTATACATCTGTGCATTTTCTTATGATATTTTTTGTTTCCAAATGTTCTTTGCTTATCTTAAATTTAAGCAAAGACAAATTTCATTACCGAACCTTGTTGAACGCCGCT